ATAATCCTGACTAATAAGTAGCGATATTTCAGACTCCTGTTCTTCCTTGTGTTGGTTTTACAACGTATTCCATTTTCAGGGCACTATTTTTGTGTACCTTTTTATATGCTTTTACCGCAGTCTAATGAATGGGCTATGTGTAAAACTTAATTTTGAGGTCATGTTTTCATTAAAGTGCCATTCCTGGTCTCGTTCCTCTGCGTACGGTAGTATGGGAAGGCATACTTTTGACCAGAGAAGTAATATTTTTGGGAAGAGTTGAGAGGACTTTTAGAACTCCCCCTTTCAAGGACATACTTAGTTTATTGTCTTTTACATGCAAGCTGTTTAATTCCCAGCTATTTCTATATCTTCCTATTATTTTCTTAAACCTCCTTTTAATGGTTTTATACTGTCAGAATTTACTATTGAAACCAAGGGTAGTGTGGCACAAATTATTGGTATTTGTGTAGACCACTGGGGTAAATATATCTTCATGGAAGACTGAAATCCCTCTCCCTTCCAGGAGTTTGAACTGCAAATTTATCTCCTCGTTGCTCAACAGAAATAGGCATGAGATGAGGAGTTGTCACCGGGAGTCCGAAGGCAGCAGCTCTGAAAGTCCTCTTGCATCTTCTTGCTGACCTCAGGTGTTTCTTTGCTCGTGAGCTGCCCTGCAGAGCTCAGCCCTTTCCTTGCTGAGGGCTCCCCTGCTTTCCTCTCCGCACCGCTCCCCATTTTTCGGTCTCTCCTGGTGCTAGCCGTCGTGTTTGCCGTGCCCTCAGCTGGGTGCAGCCCTTTGGCAGGCGCTCGGGGCTCTCCACATACCAGAGTTTGTCCATTCGAGCATGTTCAGAATGCACAGCCCGTGTCACCTCGTTCAGTGGAGAAATGTCCTTCGCGTACGAATTTTTCTACATATTCACCCTAAAGTGTCTTTTTTTATTTTGCTTTGTTTCTTCTCTTGTATTCCTTCCTCATCAAGCCCCGGCTTAATTTACCCTTTCATGTAAGATGTTTGCTTTCTTCTCTGCAGCTCCTGACCTCTCAAACAGCTTTCTAGAGTTCACGCCTCAGAACCTCGGCTTTTAAATTGTATTTTTAAGCAACTGCTTAATTTTGACAACGTGGAAGAAAGCCTGCGGAAAGTGCGTGGGCATTGGTAAAGCGTCTGTGCTTACGGCTTCCTCGCTGCGGTCAAAATTTATCTGTGCTCCCTGGATAGGCTTGCATCCCCTCCCCAGTAATATCAGCATTGTGGTGACATCCAGAAAAGCTGCCATTTTATCTGCCCCTAGCAATTGTAATATCTTCTAGAGACTACGCCAGGCTTAGTCATCTGCCCTTGCTTAACTTGCCCAACTCAGTCCTTGTTCTGAGACACCGACGGAGACGCAGCTGAGCTCTAAGACATATTTCTCTGGCTTGCTGCTTAGTTCACCATCAGCTGTCGCTTAATACAGACCATTTATTCCTTGCTGTGCTTGGTCATTTCCAATCTTCCTATTTTTCCTGCCCAGTCAACCCTAAACTGGAGTTTCTTTCCAGCTCCTCCTCCCCCCCCCCCACATTTTTTTTTTTTTTTTATTTATTTTGTGGAATAAGTTATTTTATCTTCTGTCCCCATCTCAGCAGGCTTTGTCCCAGGTTACTTTCGCTCCCATTCTGCGTTCGACTTTTGTCCCTTTGTATTTAAATCAGTCTGCTGCTGTTCTGATATGCCCTGAATGCCTGCCAGGCGGGCAGGGGACTTGGATGTGTCCCATCCTGGAGGGGACCTCCCAGGAGATGGCATGTGCGTAGCCTGGGCAGGCTCACGAGCTGTTTGAAATGGAATTTAGCTCTCAACGTTTATAATGAAAATGTACAGACTGCGCTTTTCCAAGTGTTTTTAAATTTGGGATTTTGAGGGAATAGAATATGCCCAACTCAGATCATCCTTCGGTCAAATTTTACGTGCCTGCTAAAGCCTAATGGGTGCAGGAATGTTTCGGACAAAGGGTTTTCAGAAGGTAGCACAAGTAACGTAATTTTTCTTAGGTCTGTCACTTGCAAACAGCGCAACTCTCTTGCATCCAGTAGTAAAGCTGAGACAGACATCTAGCAGGAAAAATTTCAATGAGCATAGTTCGGCAAAGTTATGCTCCGTGGTTTTATCATTGGAAAGAATTAGGGGACGTTTTACTACTTCTTCCTTCAAACTTAGAAATATAAGCCTCACAGAAAATGAGGATTTGGTTTGATCTGGTGAGGTCCCTCAAAACCTGATGCTGGCTGTCCCCCTGCCCTGGCACTTTGCTATCTTGACAAAACCGGGTGCTGGCTGCTACCGAGCACTTAGCACTTCGCTATCGCTTATGCTCTTACAAGGTAACGCTCTGACTTTTGGTTTTTTTTCTTTTTAGTTGGTGCCAGTTTCTTTCCCCAAAAACTGAAATTGATTGCTGTGGGACACAAAAGCGAAGCCACTCGTATGCCAAGCTGATGCCCCAAGGGGCATGGGGGGTATCCCGCTGCTCCCACGCAGCCGCTCTCGGTGCAGACAAGTCACCCACGAGGGATAACCTGGCACAAAACTCCCCTCTGTTTTGGAGGAGGACTAAGTTTCTGCTGGTTGTGACCCCCTGAGCCAGCTCCTGGCGGGGTCCGATGAGGACCCATCGGTCAGGCGCTGCCCGGAGCAGGGAGAGCGCAGGGATGGAGGGAGGATGCGGGAGAAGAGGGGGTGGCAGTGACCTGTCAGACCCAGGTAGCCGTGAAGTCAAAACAGCCCATGAGGGGGAAATGGGCTGTAATTTCCCATTTTCACCTTTTCCGCCTCTTTTTTTTCAATTAATGAAAAACACGTTTGCTCTTTTTCTAGTCTTCTGTAAGCATACCCACTTCCAATTAAAAGTTAATCCCTGAGATTGAGTAAAGTGAATTGCACCAGGTCCTGCCTACTTGAAAATACTTGGCTTATCCTAGGAGTTTTTAAAATGTTTTCCTATAGAGACAAGTGTTCTTATGAAGACATTCTTGTGGGTTTGCCTCTGGTGTTAATTGTGGTAGCTATCTGGGTTTCTTTTTTGTAAAAAAGGGATTGAAACTGAAAAGGCATAACTACGTAGGAGTCGAGATGCCACTTGTTTTTCGTGGTCTGCACTGAACCGTGGATCAGTAGTTGTGTATCTATCAGGAATTGCTCATAGTATTGGAAGAGAAAATTGGGTCAAAACAGTTGATGCCACGTTTTTTTGCATCCCCACCAAGGGGTGGGGTAGGGGTCTGGTTCAGCTCAATAGGATGCTATCCTGTTACTTTTATGTCTCTTGCTGGATATATCAGTTTGTGGCTTTACCTCGTTGCCCCGTGCGTCCTGTGACCTTTTCACGATCCCCCTGAGGAACCTGACTTCCATTTGTTGCGTTCCAGTTTCATGTGGCTGAGAAGTTCTTAGTCCCTATGCTTCCGATCTTACCCTGGCGTCGGGATGCTTTGTGCCGGTCTCCTTTGGCTTGCTGCTTCTTAGCAGATCTCACGTACTGTGTTAGAAGATTCTGCCTGCTATGATTGACCAAACAAGGCAAATAAAGACAAATAATACAAATTTGTACAAATACTGCAAATAACAAATATAGAGCTGTAACAGAAATATGTTATGCAAATCAAGAGGTTAGCTTTTTTTTTAAAAGGATGACCGATTCTACCACTTGCTGAACGCAGATCTGGAGATTTCTGAAAGCAAGTCTGATACCAGAAAGCACTACGAATAATTTTGCAGATGGGAGAGAGAAACTGTAAGTCACCCAGGATCTCTAGTGCAAAGAAAAAGGCACCAGAAAATTGTTGGTCTGTAAGTTAGGGAAGAAGAAATTGCGAAGAATATACCACTTCGGTCCTGCATCTTATCAGTTACGAAGTTTGTAAAACAGGAAGGGGAAGAGAGCATTTGCTGAGTGCCCTGTAACATCTGGCCAGAAATTAAACATTGCCCAGCGTTTGCTAAAATTGCCTCTCGGTAACTTCACCAAACTCTTTTAAACTCTTCTAAAATATTTACCTCTATATCTCACTCAGGTTTCCTGTATGCTTTATGCCCTATGTAGCACAATCTCTATCATTTTGTATTTTTCCAGTAGCCAGTCGATGGTCCTGCGCTGCCCGTAGGTACGGTACGGTCAAGAGCGGGGTGTGTGTAGCACCCCCGGCACACACCGACCGGCTTGTGCTGCTGCGGGCATCCAGAGGATGCTCTTTATGTTCTCTCGCTACCAAACCTGAATATTTGAAGTTCATGGGAGAAAGTTGTAAGTGTTTAACCACAAAAGCAGAGGCAAAATACCGTTGTTCATGTCTTGCAAACAAGTTGGGACAAAAAGTTTGGATGTGTAGTCCAAACCTAAGTCTCTCTTCTGATGGAGAGAGCCACTGCAAATCTCTGGAGTTTAAGTCTTTAGCATTTCCCCTCCTTCTCACACCTGGTTTTGAGCTTCTCTTTTATCTTTAATTGTATCCCTTTGGCCTAGTCTTCCCACGCCCTGAACTGTTCCCTTTTCACCCCTCCTTCCTTTCCTCTTATAGTTCTCAGGGTGGAAAAACACTTACTTAAAAAAAAAAAAGTGTGAAATGTATTTCTCCCTGTGGAATAGCTGTAATCTTAATTTAATCCAATTACGTTGGCTAAACATATTAGCTGGATGCTATTGCTAACAGTCGACCTTTTTAAAAATCTGTGTCCTTGGGTTACAGAGGTGATGGCTCGGGAAGAGGAGCAGAGGTGGGCTGCCGGGAGCACGGTGCCTGCCTTGGTTAGAAGGATGCGGTTAGTTCAGTTTTCCTCTGTCACCGGTGAATGAACGCCTTGCCCCTTCGCACAAAATGTGCGAAGAGTGGCTTGAGCCCTCCGCACACGCTGTTACACCGCGGGTTTATACAAGTTTCGTGTGCTTTAACTCGCCTTTTAATAAGTTTGAGGTTTGCAAATGGAGTCCAGCACAAAGATGTTAGTTAGCTATCCATGAATAAATGCATATAAATACATGTATTTAGAGCCTTCTGTTGGTCACAGACCCAAAGTAAGCTAAATCCACAATACAGAAATATCTCTCTACAACTCCATAGCAGAATGTATTATTTTATCTTGGTTGACTGAGGAGCAGAATACGATCCAACCCTTTGGGGCAAGTCTAAAGAGCAAGCAAATAAAGTACTCTGAATTATTTTACCTAATTGAATGAACAACATTCTTCGGAAACAGTTATTTGGCTAAACTTCATTAGACGTAAACCTTCTTTTTCCTGTGTCTTCCCAGGTAATGTTCTTTCTATTGTTAGGATAACAAGTATCCCCAGATTTAATTTCAGTAACCTGAGTAGCATGGCAGGGTATAGAATTGTTTCCAAACGTAGTAGATTGTGTCCCTGTCTAGGAAGAAAATTCATATCGGTGGTGGTTTTCATTGCAGTTTGTCTGTGCGTTGCATAGTTTAACAGTTTTATTCATTACTTTTATCATTCAAGATGCACCCAGCTTTCCTTTGAGCTGAATGCAACCTCCAGCTGATCTTCAGGCATCGTCTTTCTAATGCTACTTTTGCTCCACCTTGCTTTTACATGGGCAGCTTTAATGCGAACGTGCTAGGTAATGTGAAATAAATGTAGTGGTTGTGCTAAAATTGTTGAGAAGCAGGGGAGAACAGTTGCCCGATGCTGCTCTTGATATCATGTCTTGTATTTCATTGATGGAAAGTTTATAGGAGTGGAAGTTACTGGTCCTCTCAAAGCCATCCTTTCAAACGGTGAAGGAAAACCACAACGTGCGCTAATACTACCCGTGCATGAACTTACATGGATATAAGGAGTTTTTCGAAAGAAATGTAGCTGTGTGGGTGCGTATGCATGCGTGCTTGAGAGATTCTCTTTGTTTTTCTTAACTGAAATGTTCTCAAATCAAGCGAGGGTGGAAATCTTTCACATATATTTAAGAAGATCCAGATGAGAGTGAAGTAGATCATACAAATGTCACTCAGCTTTTCGAATTAAAAAAAATGGCTGAATTTTCAAATAAAAACCCCATCAACCTACCCTTTGAGAGGGACATATTTAAGTTCACCTTAGGATTCCAGTCAATATTCAGATTCCCTCATGATGATGAATCTGGGGTATGAACCTGGACTGATACCTTGCTGTGAAACATTCACTGCCATCTGCCTTGCCTACAGCCCCAATATTGTGTTTGATAAAGTGAAATACAGTTCTTAACAATCCATTAATTAAAAAAAATTTGGTTTTTTTAACAGGCAAAACGAAGGCTGGAGCTAGGAGAAAGTGGCCACCAGTATCTTGCTGAAGGACTAAAGACTCCAAAGGGGAAAGGAAGAGCTGCGACAAGAAGTCCAGATAGTCCAAAAAGTAAGAGAACTTGTAACGCGCTGTGTGGCACGGAGCTTTTTATTTTACCAGCTTGAGATCAGAGCGAACCAGTACTACAGGCTGCATTACTGAGCTAAAAGAGCGTGTCTGTTGCCGTCCTCACCTGGACGTCCATGCAACATGCTCAACCCCACAGCCAGGCAGCGAAGGACGAGTTTGCAGCGTGCGTCGGTTGATGCGGAGCTGCTGAGAGGCTGCAGAGGCTCCTGGCTGTCGGGTCTGTCCCTCTGCCAGCTGGGCAGCCTGCAGCCTCCGCGTCCAGCACCTCCTCTTCAACCAGGGACGGGAGGTTGGGGATGCTCAGGAGAGGTAGATGCTGAGGACTGAAGGTACGATGACGGGATCAAATGCTTATCAGGCCAGCCTCTTCCTTCCCTGCTGAAGTTAGAGCAGCTGAGTGGCAGGACTTCTTCCCCCAGGCAGGGATTTGCAAAGAGCGGTAGCAGGGCCTCAGCAGCGTTTGTGGGCTCTGAGCTGCTTTCTCTCCCTGCGATATGACTAGGTTATTACTGCCACTGCTTAGTATTAATTTTTGCACATCTGTATTGCCTGGGGCAGTAGGTTTCTTGCAACAGGAGCTGGGGGGTGTAGCCTTGCCATCTTGTTTGGGGGATTTCACCAGGAGAATTAAGGCTTGTGGAGGGGGGCGAGGGGGGAAAGGGGAGGACTAGGGCAGCAGTGGTAGTGATGGGAGAGCAAGAGAGGTGAGGGGGTACTTACTTGTCCCTCCTCGCCAGTCTAAGCGCTTGTTTCTATTGAGGCAGATAGGAAAAGTGAAATTAGCTGAAGATACAAACTTCAAGTGGACGAGTTAAACAACCACAGTTATTTTAATTAAACTAAATTTCATTAAGCTAAACGAAGCCCATGTTAAATTGAAGCGCATTCTCATGGAAGTTCAGTACCATTCAGTGCATAGGATGCTGCTTCAGGGCTGGTAAGGCTGTACGGAGAACTTCGTGGTGCGTGACCAGGAGCACGTGCCATTTTAGGTGGGGGTCAAGTAGCCTCTTGCCCTTATCGCTCTGATCCTCCTCCTCTTTTCCAAAGGCTAAAGGAAAAACAAACAAACAAACAGAAACCACCCTGCTCTGAATTCACAAGGTCACTGAACTGATAGGAATATTCCTCCATTTCCCAGTGGAGACAAGCCCTGAATCTACCAAAGAATGAGATACAGCTAGCGGGTTCTCTTTGCAAACGGGCAATGACTTGGTTTTCATTGAAAACCCATCATATTCTTCAAAATATGTCAGGGTAGTTTAAAGGTTCACTTTCAGGTAGAATTTCAGTTTTGACTGACTTCTGCAATTACATGTGGGACCTGAACCTTGAAAACATGAAGATGACCGCCAGATCAGCCTAAGGTCCATCTCGCGTAATACTTGAAGCGAATGAAGGTTTGAGACGTACCAGCCTAGCAGACTTCTAATAACGGCTGGCTCATTTCCCTTGACACAAAGACCTCGAACATTTAGAATTAGAAATTATTCTGGTCTAAGTGTTTAAAGTCTTAAAAGTGCATCTGTTGTGTATATAGATGCTGCATTTGCGCAGGAAAACAGCGAGTTGTCTAGTAAGATCCAAGCCGTTTGCTGACTTCTAATTTAGAAAAAGTAGATACTCTTGCCCAGTTTGAGCATTGTTTAGTTATGGAGAGGCGATGATTACAAATTGTATCTTACGTCAGTCTCCTCTAATTCATTGGAGTTTTCTGTAAGCTGGGGAGTCTGGCACTGATGGAATCTGTCATTGTGTTCACCCACTGAAGTACACCTAAGTCCTGCTTAATTGCATGTGAAACACTTATCTTACAAGAGGGGAAAATCAAACCCTGATGAAAGCTGGCTATCAGCCTGATGAAGGAGAGTCATAAGGGAATTTTTGGTATTGCTGCCAGGATAAATAGATACTAAAAATACTATTAAGAATTCACATAGTGAAAGCCTAAGTAGAATATTGCTATATGTATCTGTCAGACTAATGGAAATATTTGCATTTAAAAAAATGTATGTATTTGCTCATGTACCTGTGACTTTTGGAAAAGTACAACTTGAAATACAAATAAATACCTAGTGGTAAGTTGTGTCTTACTGCAGAGGTTTGAGACATTTCTTGAGTAAAAATGAAAGAAATATCTGTAATATGTATCCTTTCATTTCTGGATGCTGCTTTCGGAATGAAAATGAGGAAAAAAAAAAAGATTTATCTGTTTGTTTTGAGGGTTTTTTCTTTTCTTTCCAAGCTCCAAAATCTCCTTCAGAAAAGACTCGGTATGATACATCACTTGGCCTTCTTACAAAGAAGTTCATTCAGTTGCTGAGCCAATCTCCTGATGGGGTCTTAGATCTGAACAGAGCAGCAGAGGTCCTCAAGGTGCAAAAAAGGAGGATTTACGATATCACCAATGTACTGGAAGGCATCCATCTCATTAAGAAAAAATCCAAAAACAACATTCAGTGGATGTGAGTATTCATTAT